CCTCCTCCGTGGTGGTTGCTGGCAGACGTCTCTGCTTTGACGGAAGCTGGCCGACGCCTCTGGCTTTGACGGAAGCCGGGCACAAGCTGGGTGACTGGATGGTGGTCGCTGGCTGGCTGCCTCTCTTCTTGTGTTGGGTACCTTTGCTACAAGCTGATGGTGGTTGCTGGCTGACGTCTCTGCTTTGACGGAAGCTGGCTTGCGTTAGCCGGGCAATAGCTGGGTGACTTGATGGTGGTTGCTGGCTGACGTCTCTGGTGCTTTGAAGTCTCTGGTGCTTTGACGTCTCTGGTGCTTTGACGTCTCTGGTGCTCTGGCGTCTCTGGTGCTTTAGCGACAGCCGGGCACAAGCTGGTCGTTGCTGGGTGACGTTTCTGGCTTTGACGGAAGCCGGGCACAAGCTGGGTGACTGGATGGGTGTTGCCTCCTCCGTGGTGGTTGCTGGCAGACGTCTCTGCTTTGACGGAAGCTGGCCGACGCCTCTGGCTTTGACGGAAGCCGGGCACAAGCTGGGTGACTGGATGGTGGTCGCTGGCTGGCTGCCTCTCTTCTTGTGTTGGGTACCTTTGCTACAAGCTGATGGTGGTTGCTGGCTGACGTCTCTGCTTTGACGGAAGTTGGCTTGCGTTAGCCGGGCAATAGCTGGGTGACTTGATGGTGGTTGCTGGCTGACGTCTCTGGTGCTTTGAAGTCTCTGGTGCTTTGACGTCTCTGGTGCTTTGACGTCTCTGGTGCTCTGGCGTCTCTGGTGCTTTAGCGATAACCGGGCACAAGCTGGGCGTCTTGATGGTCGTTGCTGGCTGACTGTGTCTCTTTTGTTGGGCACCTTTTTTGTTAAATACCATAAAATACATGATAATGATGCCAATGTCGACAAGTCGTATTTGTTCAAGTCAAGTCGCAAGTCATTTTTGTTCAAGTCAAGTCAAGTCACAAGTCATTTTTGTCCAAGTAAAGTCAAGTCGCAAGTCACAAAAATTGGCGACTCGAGTCGGACTCCAGTCTGAGTCAACGACTCGAGTCAACAACACTGGAACTTGGCATCTCTGCATCACGCATCTTATCACAATTTTTGGTGAGCGTAGAGTTCCGTCCAATCAACTATTGGGATTGTACCTTACCTTGTTTAATATTTATATTTGTTTCCTCCTCGCCATTTGACTCTCCCGGTTCCTCCTCACTTTCCTCCTCTCCCGGCTTCTCTTCTCCCACCTCCTCAAAAAGTTCCTCTTCTCCATCCTCTCCTCCCGAATCTTCTTTTCCTTCGTCCGCTCCTTCTTCGTGACAGGATCTGTACTTCTAGCGCTGTGATGTCAGTTTGAAAGAAACCCAGATAGGGGATGTTCGACCCATCGGCAGACAATATACATGTATACCGGTAGCTGGAAATGCTCTGGAACGCTCGTGTCCAGAAGACAAGACACTCTACACTGATCGAAGAAAACTTCCACCTTTAAGGAATCTGCTACAGCCCTTCTAAAGAAGGCTTCCGCAGGGGGTGCTGAGCCGCAACTGTGCCCTCTGACTGCCAGGCTCCTTGCAGCCGAGGGTTCCCGTTTTCCGTTCGGCTGATCCAGGCTGGGTTGGCATTCCTCCAGGTTGATGGGCTGGGTGTGGGGCGTTCTAGGGGGTGTTGCACAGCATCACTTGTGATGGAGGCGCCCATCTGGGGCCAGGGTAGCTGGACATTGCAGGATTACAGGGGGTTGTGCATAGTGCTTTGGGCTGACTTCAAAGGATGGTGGCCTAGGAGCTGGCAGAAAATGACTGTGTTTGTGTGGCATTATGGCATAGCGGTCAAAAGCATGCTTGATGGCCGTCACAAACTCATCAGCTAGTACCGACCAACTGGTTGCCTCCTCTCTGCCCACAAAGATGGATATTTTGCTCTCTGGAGCGAGTTCAACGGACCCCCGGGCTGCTGTCACTGTTGTCTGCTTCTTAGTCTCCCCATGCTGTGCAGGAATTATTGCCTGAAAAGTTCCTTCCTCCCCCCCCCCCCCATCCGTCTAGGGGCAGCTGGAACAGTTCAAAAAATTGGATCGGACATCATGGCAAATTTCCTGATGATATCCCGCGGACAACACCCGTGTCGAATATGTCCGTATAGGTGCCCAATCCTGAACGTTGGTGTGCAGGCAGAAGGGCACAAATCAGATGACCATCACATCCATACTTTCGCGAGAGTTACAAACGCGCAAGCAAATTTACATTTCGACAGCAACACAATTGAGTAGAAGCTAGCCTTCAAAGAAATGAGACGTCACAACGGTAACCTACACTCCTACAGCTAGCTACAATGTACTGAACCTTTGGAGAAAAAAAACAATTTGCACAGATAAGCATCTTCCAAAATGAAATTTTCCCTTTCATGATTCTTGAAGTCTATACGATTGAAACAAAACAATTTTCCCAATCATGTTAGGTACACTGTCAAGATCTTTCCTGATTTAGTGCACAACATACGTATATTTTAAACTCTTTCCATAATACCCCTGTATCCGTTTGGTGATTAATTTATTATTGTTTTTCAATGTCATATTTTTTATTCATCAACACCAAGTTGAATTAACTGATTAATAATTAATGATGTCCTTGTTTAAGTCTGACATGCATCCCTGCAGCTTTTGCCTGCTTTGTTGCTGCCTAAAAATTGGTTTCATTCCTATGTACTAAATCATTTTGGTTTGTTTACGGCCAATTAACACCAGTGACTTTACAAAGGGTAGGCCCGTGATGAATTGAAGTGTGTTTGCTGCAACAGCTAAACAAAATGTCTCGTTTTGTTTGCGCGCCGCCCGGTACGCATCCCTTGCTTTTTGCCGCCATGGCTTGGCATCCTCATAGCTGTTTTAGCAGGATTTGAGCCTACGCTTGTATTTTTTTCATGTTCACCTTCTTGTAGAATTGCTTCATGTGCCTTCTCCTTTGGTCGTGTGTCATTTGCAACCATGTATTGCGGGGAACCTCAAATCTTCTGAAGCGGTTGGCAAGTTTCAGATCGCCGATATCGAAAATGGCACGTTCGATCTCTGTTTCTTGATCTTTGCCTTTGTCTTCGAGTTTCTTGATCAGTGTAGATAGTGGCAAAGTTGTCCAACTTGTGATGGTCTTCAGCACATGGTTCATACTCTCTGCATTGTTGTTTGACCAGCCTACAATGTATACCTCCATCAGTGTGTTTTGGGCAGAATACATGGTTGGTACTAGTGAAATTCACCTTTATCTTTGGAAGCACAATGGACTCAAAGTATGTAGAAAACTGCTTCAGTCTTCGGATCATCTTTCTAACGATAGACAGTTGAGTGTTGAATACAGCGGGAGATTTGGCACTTACTAATCCTTCCTTTCCAAATATGACTTTCGTTACTTTTTTTCTTCTTCTTGTCACTCAGCCCTTCCTTTCTGGTTAGTCTTTCACTGCAGTTCTTTTTCAAGTGCTCGGTGCAGAAAAGACGATTTGAGTTTGGCCATGCGTCTTCGACTGCACGCCACAGACCTTTCTCATCGTCGCTTCCGATGAAGGGTGTCGATGTTCCTTGTACTCTTGCTCGGATATGATCAAAGAAGTGGTTATACTCCATGCGTGTAGACTGCCCATGAAGGTACATTGGTCCCAGAAATATTGGTGGATCTCCCGTTTTTCTTCTCACCACGGCAACGTTTTTGTAAGTCAGTATGATGATGTGTAGTGGGCCCAAGTTGAAGGTTTTGTACACCCCCAGAATGCTGCTCTCTTCAGCACAGTTGGAACTGAAGCAGCAGCATTCCATGCAGTCTATCTGGGTATCTGTGTATAATATAATTGAAGGGATTTTCCCTGGCCCGCGGATTATATATCTCACAAACTGTGAATCCTGGATGTCATTCTCAATGTTGAGAATGCTATCTGCAAAATTACGGCTCCCAATTTCTCCTTGCCTTTTCTTCTCTCTGTACCAGATCTTCTCTACCTGTTTTCTGTTTCGAGGTGCGAACCTTGCTGAGACAGCACGTCTTTTGGCCTCTCCGTACACGTGTTATTCTGGCATCTGCATAAGTGTAACTTCAGGGAAGTGGTAACTAAATTAAACCAGATAGCTCAACCGCAGAAAAGAAGAACACGATGGCCAAAGGTCAGAGCTTTGGTTTCCATTTAGTCTTTATTCCACGCGGTGAAATGACTGTGGTTCCGGGGTGTCTAACTATGTAAGGGTGGATTACATCGAAGTTCGAATTAGAATTTCACAAGTCAAAATGTTCTAGAAAGATGCATATTCAGAATAACTCTTTCTAAAGTGAACCAGGCTGTGGCCTGTCTGGATACAGAATGAGCACTTATTTTAGCTGCCAAGTGCACACACACCAAAACCCAGACGTTACCTCATCCACTGGGGTCAGAAGTTGAGCTCGGGAACAATGGTCCTATTGGTGAGTACAGCACCTCAAGTGCATAATGAGGCAGAACCAACGAGCAAGTATCGAAAACTGTGGGCTGGTGATAAAGTTACTACATTAAAGGGGCTCTACAGAAAATTGGTAGGGCGGGTAAAGCACCGTCCGAGACACGTGTGATGGCTTTCCAAATGTCACGTCTTCCTTAATCTTATCAAGTACTTCTGGCTCAGTGCGAAAGTATTTGCTACCAGAAACAGGGTCTGCATTTCCATGGCAGAGCTGAATGGTTGGCGGTTGATCTACGTACTCCACCAATGCCCTTTCTTGCCGTTGTTGTCCTGTAATTATGGTTGTAATTCGGCGTTGGTAATCTCTTTTAATGGACGAGGTGGCGTAGTACCTTGAGATTTTTACCACATCTTCACTGCGAGGCTGGGGTTGTATGGGGCAAAAGCACCTTACACCATCAACTGTCTTGTAAATCTTGTATATATCCATCTTGTAGGAACACCAACCGCTTCACGGGTGATATCTGGTAGGTTGACGTTGGGCAAGTGCCTCTATTCCATTGCCCACAGTCATCTGGATATCGCGAATGTAATGTCTGTGAATGTAATGTCTATAGAAGATGGTTGATCGCTTCTTCGTAATTGAGGAAACCATGGACCAGTGGAATAGACTTGGATTTCCCTGAAAAGATAATGGAAATGACAGACTTAAGTAATGTGAATATGACATATTTTCCCTTAACTTGTTGAACTTAACCTACCGGTAGTGCCTTTTTGCGATTGCACCAATTTCATTTCTTGGTAGTCTTTCTGTTACATTTTTTGTACATTATATAATTACTCTGACATTGTCAAACAGACTGCCTTAACAATTGAAGAACAAATGTGTCCTTGTGGTGGTTCAGAAAAAAAAAACTTGCATTGAACTGCCCCTCAGACCTCTCAAAAGTATTCATGCTAAACAGATTCATAGTGTTTTCTGTGTATTTTTTGTTTCAGCTACGCTGTCATGCTTAAAATGCAGCTTTCCATTTTTAGTTTCCATCTAATCGGTCTTTGTACTGAAACATGATAGTTTTGTGTATATTCTATTTCAAATGTAACTTTTGCTAAACGTTAAAGTGAGATAATTTTTGGGGGGTATATGTAGCTGTAATCAAGGATCGAAGATTGGTAGTATCTCTCTCTCGCTCTCAATCAATTTGTCTGTTATTCTCTTTGTGAAATTATTACATGACAGCCAGACGTATACAATAATCATCCTAACTAGTAACCTTGTATTACAGTGCCCTACCTCTCAAAATCATAATACATAAATAAGACTTGTAAGTATTTGCTGAAATAAACATCAACACAACAGCTTTACGAAGTGGCATTTCATTAACGAAAAGGTGCACTTTAGCTTTTGACGAAAGGATGAACCATGAACTTTTAACACTTAAAGGCATATGTATTCAACCAAAGTATGTTTAATTGTGATAAAAAAAACCGTTACGTTTGGTTATTTTGTGTGCCTTTTCATGTTGTTTACCAGCAACCCCTATGTTAGGATGGGTGTTAACAGCATCCCATCCATAATATCTTTAATACACTTTCTATTCCATTTATTTCAATTATGTTCTCACCAACTCTTTGCCTTTTTGGATATTGTGAACCATCATCATCATCATCAAAATCATCAGAAGTTCCTTCACCATCTTCCTCCTCGTTGTCTGACATGTCTCTATGGTCGCTGTCTGACCTGCCTCCCCACGGGTCATCTGCCATGTCTTCCTGCTCGTTGTATGACCTGCCTCTCCGCGGGTCATCTGAGTGGTCTCCATGGTCGTTTTCTGACCTGCCTCCCGACAGGTCATCTGACAGGTCTCCATGCTCGTTGTCTGACCTGCCTTCTCACTGGTCATCTGAGTGGTCTCCATGGTCGTTTTCTGACCTGCCTCCCGACAGGTCATCTGACAGGTCTCCATGCTCGTTGTCTGACCTGCCTTCCCACTGGTCATCTGAGTGGTCTCCATGGTCGTTTTCTGACCTGCCTCCCGACAGGTCATCTGACAGGTCTCCATGCTCGTTGTCTGACCTGCCTTCCCACTGGTCATCTGAGAGGTCTCCATGGTCGTTTTCTGACCTGCCTTCCCACTGGTCATCTGAGTGGTCTCCATGCTCGTTGTCTGACCTGCCTTCCCACTGGTCATCTGAGAGGTCTCCATGGTCGTTTTCTGACCTGCCTTCCCACTGGTCATCTGAGTGGTCTCCATGCTCGTTGTCTGACCTGCCTTCCCACTGGTCATCTGACAGGTCTCCATGCTCGTTGTCTGACCTGCCTTCCCACTGGTCATCTGAGAGGTCTCCATGGTCGTTTTCTGACCTGCCTTCCCACTGGTCATCTGAGTGGTCTCCATGCTCGTTGTCTGACCTGCCTTCCCACTGGTCATCTGAGTGGTCTCCATGGTCGTTTTCTGACCTGCCTCCCGACAGGTCATCTGACAGGTCTCCATGCTCGTTGTCTGACCTGCCTTCCCACTGGTCATCTGAGAGGTCTCCATGGTCGTTTTCTGACCTGCCTTCCCACTGGTCATCTGAGTGGTCTCCATGCTCGTTGTCTGACCTGCCTTCCCACTGGTCATCTGAGAGGTCTCCATGGTCGTTTTCTGACCTGCCTTCCCACTGGTCATCTGAGTGGTCTCCATGCTCGTTGTCTGACCTGCCTTCCCACTGGTCATCTGAGAGGTCTCCATGGTCGTTTTCTGACCTGCCTTCCCACTGGTCATCTGAGAGGTCTCCATGCTCGTTGTCTGACCTGCCTCCCGACAGGTCATCTGACAGGTCTCCATGCTCGTTGTCTGACCTGCCTTCCCACTGGTCATCTGAGTGGTCTCCATGGTCGTTTTCTGACCTGCCTTCCCACTGGTCATCTGAGAGGTCTCCATGCTCGTTGTCTGACCTGCCTCCCGACAGGTCATCTGACAGGTCTCCATGCTCGTTGTCTGACCTGCCTTCCCACTGGTCATCTGAGTGGTCTCCATGGTCGTTTTCTGACCTGCCTCCCGACAGGTCATCTGACAGGTCTCCATGCTCGTTGTCTGACCTGCCTTCTCACTGGTCATCTGAGAGGTCTCCATGGTCGTTGCCTGACCTGCCTCCCGACAGGTCATCTGACAGGTCTCCATGCTCGTTGTCTGACCTGCCTTCTCACTGGTCATCTGAGTGGTCTCCATGGTCGTTTTCTGACCTGCCTCCCCACAGGTCATCTGACAGGTCTCCATAGTCATTGTCTGACCTGCCTCCGCACGGGTCATCTTCCATGCCTTCCTGCTCGTTGCCTGACCTGCCTTCCAAAGGGTCATCTGACAGGTTTTCAGGGTCATGGTTTGCCCGCTGCCGCGAGGGGGCACTGTAACCAAAATCCGCTGGAGCATGGACACCGTCTTACCAACTCTACATCTGGAAGCTGCTAATATTAATTCTTAGGTCTTATCCATTTTGCCTGCAAGTTATTTTCTGTTTTGGAGTCAACTTATATGCTTAATCTTGCAAGCAGTACTTGATGATACTTAATGGAAATTCTTGAAAGTACCTTTTTTTTCTGTTCAAACTTGAACAGTCATTGTCCTGTAAGTTCCCTTATCACTAACCTGTTCTGCAGCAAACATCTATACATGTGTTGCAATCATGGCTGAGAAGCTTCACAAGCTCCCTGCATAAAGCACTAGGGTTTTGATCACGGTTGACAACCTCCCCTGATTCGTCGGTGTACAGATCATCCATCGTCACCGTCAACATGTTGTCTGCATCAGCAACATTAATGTGGTTTTTGTTGACGGATTTTCTCCCGTCAACAAAGCCCACAACTATGCCAGCAACCACCTCTACGAGGATGAGTCCATGTTCTTTTCAAATAGGATAAAAGAGAATGCCTTAATGAATATTTTTAACAAACGGCATTTCCAGGATTATATATTTTTCATTATTTGCCAATATTGAGTTTTGGTATAGGGGCAGAGTAGACTATAACAATCCCTTGTTAGAGCGCTGGCCCACAAAATGTAACTTTATCTGTCCCTAATTTGTGATTGTAAAAGTCATCTCCTTTGTGGCTTAATTGACCCTATGTTCTCAATCTGCCATCGACAGCAAACTAAACAACAATAACTAGACCTAGGATGAACTGTTTATAGCTTTGTTTTGCTCAGCTTATTGTAGTGTGTCGATTTGGGGGTTTTCGGGACACAATCAACTGACAAACACAGGTGATAATATTCGTTGAAAAGTTGGTTTTATTTCTCCAACTCTAGAACACTTCCTTTTACAACAACTCGAAACATGTGACTGACTAGTGGAAATGTCCGAAACTGGACAAAAGCGTCCAGTGAATGGGTTTTATAGTCTCTTTTTCAGGGGCTCCGGTCCGCACCGTTGAAGTGGTATAGCGCCCTCAGTTGACGGGTCGTCTTAGACGCTTCATTATATTCTTCCTTTAGTTACATGCAACAAAATGATCTTGAAGAAAGTGATCTCAAACAAATAGTAATTCTTTGTGATTTAGTTGGAAAAAAATAACTAAAGCTGTGAGCTATGTCTGTGGGTGATTTGGAATGGAATGGCCTACCTTTTTCTAGCTGTTCAATGTAATTAGTACGGAACGAACAAACAACCTAGAAACTATACATGTGGGTCTTTCCATTAATTGGGAAACCTTTTATGACATTTGTGGATTAAGTAAAAGGGGTAAGCACTGCAGAATATTTTGATGATTTGTTTTGACTCATCTTTTATTAGCAAGTTTCTGAGTATTATGCTATTCGGCATGATATTTAAAGGCAAAAGTGTTTTCCGTTTTTAGCATAGTTGGTTAGAATGTGTACAGTTTATTCATATTTCCCCTTAATGAATAGCTGAGAACGTATCAGACCATTCCAAACTTGTATTTTGTAAAATTATATTAAAGTCTCAGTGCTATATTCAAAGAACTCTGCACGTTGATGCTAAATGTTTAACTCTTTACAAAAGAATGTTTGTGAAAATATCATATTTCCGCCAAATGAATAGCTGAGAACTTATCAGACCATTCCAAACTTATATTTTGTAAAATTATATTAAAGTCTTAGTGCTATTATTCAAAGAAATCTGCACGTTGATGCTAAATGTTAAACTCTTTTCGAAATAATGTTTGTGTAAAATTTTCAGATTTCACGAGACAGCACTAAAAGTTCACATGAAATTTCTAAAATACATGTTATCAATGGTCTTTAATTCCTTCAGGAAAACTGTTGAATAAGTATAAAAAATATTGAAGAATCCATGTTACAGGTGTAAAAATGTCATGCTTAAAAATCCAAATGCTCTAAATCTTTCTTTACCTAGGGGGTGTGTAAAATCGTATTAAAATTGGAGGATTCCGAACTGTTAGGGCTATATAGTGTGAAAAGTCACAAACAAAATGACGTTACTGACCCCATATACCTAATTTCCAGTAAAATCTTATGTAATCCAACTTCATAGAAAAAACCCATGTAGATCTAAGCAAGAGTAAATTCAACCACCACCTTTAAGTTTAATCCCTTGTCAGCTGACTTTGGCGTTGCGTTTGCCCAGTTAATTACTTGAAAGGAGGCATGGGACTCGTGACCATCCTACAGGGTGTATCAAAAAAAAGTAGACTCTCCAAAAAGTACCCGCCAAATTTACAATTGAACATTTTCATGAAATGTCTTCGTTTGCATATGTTGGTATGGCCGTCCTGCTTCGGTCCACACCAAAATTAATTGCATAAGTTCATGCATGACTGAACACAGGCCCGTTTTCCGGTGGGCAATAAAATGTCCTTCCTCCAAAAAATTAAAGGGTTAAAATTGGATGAAAAGTCTTAAACTGTAATGCAAAATGTGAATTTTTGTTTTTCTCCGCCGCGATACTCAAATTAACCCTTTGTTTGCACCAGTAAATTGTTATCGCGTTCTTTTGCCCTGTTAATTATTGGAGTGGAGGCATGGGACTTGTGCCCATCATAGAGGAGGATGATTTTCTGTCAGTTCTAATTCTTCCTTGAACATTTACTTCTGGAAATAGTTTTGTATGCTGGTAATAATTGAAGATCTCCGAGTTTGACAAACCACTAATGCTGACCGATGCCCTTGTTCCTGGTGCACTGCCACGTAGCAGTTCTTGTCTCATTCTTTGTCCAGGGAAGACGAAGTGCACTTATCATTGCTAACTGTAAGCTTGTTGCCCAACAGCCCTACCAACTAAATTCAGGAGGTATATTGCCTTACCACACACCCACAAGTGCCGGCGTTAGCGATCAGAATTAGGTCCTGTCGAATCTCGCCTTTCTGCGCGCCTTATATAACCAACCAAGCCGGCCGCTGGCCCTTATGCGCCTGCGCGCACGTGCTGCACGTCACCGAGCAGTGACCCACCCTGCCCAATGGCGAACGCGCAAGGCAGAGCCTAAGCACTGTGCTCGCCTAGCCCACTGCTATGCACTAAATGTATTGTGCGCAAATTTTTGCCACAGCTAGCTCTCCATGCAAAAGCGCCCTGTGTTGCGTTACACAGCCTCCTGACAGGCATAAATGCCCTCTTAGATAAGCCGACATTTACATACTAAACGTGACAGAGTGTCTTATTACATACCTACTTTAAATTTGAAAACCTGAAAGAGAAAACATTAAGAACAATACACAAACACTTTAAACATTTGTTTTACCTTAACAATGGGTTTATAAAATCTTTCATTATTACCTTATCAAAACAATGACTTTTCTAGCACGATCTTTGGCCTGTACGTCTCAAAATTAAATAAAGTTCTATTTGAACTGCTTGGTATAAAATATACTTCAGAAAAATAAAAGTCTTTATCTTCAAGACAAAAATAAAGTTATCTCCTGAGATGTCCTAGGTTTTCCTGGTAATGAATCCATGCCCAGGGAGTGCGTGGCTGCACTGCACGAGTACGTCCCGGTAGAATGTCCATTTGCGAGATTCCCTGGAGATGACGACATTGTCCACGTAGATTATCGTCTCCGTGTGCTCCACAAAGGTGGCCAGTTTCGGTATCTTCGGGCTTTGAAGCTCAAACCGAGTCTTCTCGGCGGGCTGCTTCCTTGATGAAGTTGCTGCCTTGGTCTGGGTATCACCTGCTGGCTCTGGAAGAGCTGGGGCATTGCCTTGCCATTTCGGCTTCTTCTGTGGCATGTGCGTCTTTTCTTGAGGCTCCTCTGGTATCTTTTCCTCGTCGATATCTAGCTCCAGTGGAGGCATTGATGACAGGCTGATGGCGTCATCTTCATAATTCTTCGGCGTCTCATCTTCTTGCGGTCTTTGGTCCTCCTCCACAGTGCGTTGAGGAGATGAAGGGATGGGGGACAGACAGGGTGAAGCCCTCTAAGGGCGAGAAGCCCGTCATCATCGGCCTCCTGACTACCCTTGCCGTTCAACGGCACAACAACCTTCAGAGGCGCTTGGGGATCTGTAGACTTTTGGACTAGACGTACATCCTTCGGGGGTTGTTCGGTGCCCGCCACTGCAGTGGGGAGCCCTCTTTCCGGCTCCTTATCTATTTCTGAAACCTCGGACAGCTTTGCAGGGTGCTCCATCTTGTAGTGTCTGCGCAAGTGGTCTCTGCGCTTCACATGAAACCCGCAGTGGCTGCAGTATAGAAACGTCGCCGGCCCGTGGTTTATTCTCAGGTGCCGGAGCAACCCCTTCAACCTCTGAAATGTGTGACCACACTTGTCGCACTTGTACGTCTTCGTCTGTGTTGGGGGCGCCATTCTAGAGCCAATTCTGAAGGACAAAAAGATGGAAACAGCTGTTATATTGACAGCCGACTCAAATTCCACTTAACGGAATCTTAGGGGCAACCTGTGCACCCTCTTTGGATACCTCCTTGACTCTTTGGATTTTTGTATACTGCTTGCCGCATTCATGCTACCCCATGGTTTCTGTATACTTTCTACACCCCCGTCATGCAACTCCTCGGGAAGAAATTCTCCACCCTTATCACCCAAAGGTTCCAACTCCTCAGGATGCTCTTGTGCGTCTTCAGCGCATGTATTTATCTCTGTGCCCATATCCTGCAAGGGCTCAAGACAACTGGTCTCGTCCTCATCGTTGGAGGTTCAAGAAGACTGTTCCCTGTCATGCGCACCAAATGTTTTCTGCACCTAATATCATCCAAGGGTACCAGGAGATTGTCTTCTACACCGTCTTCATCTGAAGGTTCCAACTCCCCCAGATGGCCTTGTTCGTTCTCAGCGCATGCTCTGATCTCGTTGTCACGAGAGGGAGCCCTACTGGGAGTACTCCATGGATCGATCAGACTACCTTGGTAAGGTTTCAGCTTGTCCACATATATTACACGTGGCTTGGCGCCCTTTGATTTTTGAATGCGAACCACCACATCTGACAGTTTCTTCAGCACCGGATATGGCCCCTCCCACTCCAACTGAAGTTTGGGGCTAATTTCGCAGGGTTGAATATCCACACGAATTCATTCTCCCGGATGCAAGTGTTGGTTGCCCTCCGGTCATAGTTCACTTTTTGGCATCTCACGCTTTTTCCTAAGCATTTTTGCGCCCTCTCGTGAGCTCTTTGAATCTGGTCCCTCAGATTCTGCGCATAGTCCGTCTGTACTGCTTCGTCATCACTTGGTGCAGGATTCTCCACGGTCAAGTCCAATGGCAGAGTCACTTCTCGACCCAGCATCATCATATTCGGGGATTCCCCTAAACTCTCCTGTGGCGTTCATCGGTGCGCACTAGTTGCAAATAGGAGGCACATGTTCCAACCGCGCTGACCTTTGTGCGGGTCAATCATCATGGATACCATGGTAACGAGGGTCTTATTGAACCTCTCTATGAGACCATCTGACTTGGGGTTATACGCTGTAGTACTTGTTTTACTAATGCCGAGCACCCGACTGATCTCTCGGAAAAGATCGGATTCGAAATTGGTCCCTTGGTCCGTATGGACCTCTCTCGGCACTCCGAATCGACACACAAACTCGCTAACAACTTTAGCGGCGACTGTCTCGGCATTCGTATCTGGAAGCGCATATGCCTCCATCCATCTTGTAGTGTACTCTCCTACTACAAGGATCCACTGGTTCCCATCCTCTGTCTTCGGTAGGGGGCCAACCAAATCCATGGCTACCCTGTCCATGGTTCCCCTAACATTATACTGCTGCAAGGGCGTCCTCCCTTTCTTTGGAGTCGGCTTCTTCCTCGCACACTTGTTACACTGGCGCACGCCTGTCCTTACATCGGCACTTATGCCTGACCAGAAGTATCTTTGTTTTACACGGGCAAACGTCTTCTTCAGGCCAAGACTAGGTGGCCACCAAGTTTCCCACCATGCAATTCTTCTATAAACCTGTGTCTGATGATCTAAGGAGCCATAAGCCTCCACCGGAAGGAAGTACCATCTCCAGACTCCCAACGTTGATACAACACACCATCTCTAACTGATATCTGATTTCAGTAAGCCCAATACGTCTTACTGGCCGGGGATAAGCTGGCTATGTCAGCCCAGGGCGGGCACTCTTTTCCCTTGCTCCTAGCGACTAACAACCACTTCATGGACTCATTTGCCATCTCTAAGATCTGAGGTGCTTAGCGACGGTTGCGAGACGGCAACCCTCACTGCTGCCTCATTACTACTACTTGGCATATTCGACTATTCTCATTCAACACCATCGTCATCATTATCTTCATTACCACAATGACTACATTGCTTACTCATCCCTCTTTCCAACAAGGACTTCTGAGTGTTTCGTTTTCCCGTATGTCCCAATTGTCAATTGGTGTGTTGACTATACTCAGGAAGTTGATTTGAGCTACCTTCCACCAAGTGTGGTCACGCTCAATACAGAAATAGTTTGCTGTTTGCATTTCTGGAAGGTATAGGACATGATGACGATTGCTCTCTTGGTGTCTGTATAGTATAGCTGTGTTTGTACTTCAGCAAAGTACGAACCATTAAGCCTTTGCCAGCGGGCCCTCGCTCCCTTGTGCTCTCGTCTTAATCTCCAGCAGCCACCTTCCTGGTACTACATGTATTCTATCTGGGCTTGCACCAAATGCCAACTCTCTGTGCAGAAGCACCTTAAATTAATGCCAATAAAGCAAATAATTAAATTGGTACTCTATTTTTGTATTCCATGAATAATGTAGCTTTGGTCAAGGCGTTCGTCACTGATTCGTCCGTATGCGGTAAACGATCGCCGGCATGTCCTAGCTGTGCAATGCATTAAAGATACAGCGCGAACAGCGATGCGGCCACTATTTTATACAAATCATTTAGATCCAGACGAACGCCTTGGTCCAATCATCCATGTGAGGTTTTTGGGGTGATGCTCATTATGCTAATAGCCTAAGCTGACCTTTAAAGTCGTTTTTTTATTGGTCAATCGTTGCG